CAATTGATATTTTATGATTGTGATTAAGTGGAGTCAAAATTCTGTGATAAGGGAACCAATACCTGTATTATTGTCATCACTGCATTACATTGATTCAGGCGTTTAGAATGTTCAACTTTGTAATGCAAGAAAATTGAGTCATTGCAAAAGGAGTAGAAAAGATTGTAGCAGAAACTGGCAAATACAGTGCAAAAAGGGAGGTTTCAGTGCTGCTGCTGAGGCAATGAATCATGAATTGATGACCCAAAATTTTGGTGGATAAGGGGGGAATTTGTCATGGAGCTAGCTGCAAGCTTGCACGTGATTGCCATATGGTAATGGAAGAGAAACCATGATTTAGCGTTGGACTATGCCAGTACTGTGGAAATTGGAATCCTTTTCTCAAGCTTTTTCCTATCTTCTGTCTTTTTTTCCATAGTTATTTCCTTTTCTCATCTTCGATCCTTATCTCTCAGAACATGAATTCTAACAGCCGTTTCCCCCGCAATCTCTTATCCTTATATCGTTCTGTGATTTCTGTCTTTGCCCTTTGTTTTTTTTTTTAATCTCTTGGAAATGAAAAAAAAAAAAAAGGGTCCAAGTTTGAAGAGTGGTTGTCACAGTTGCAATTTTCCAAACAATTATGGTTTCCCTGCTGAAAGAGGAAAAAATGGCTATAAATTGTCAAACCCCATGGGGAAAAAGAGTACTGTCACTTGAATCATTGATGTGCCAACTATACAAATTAAAAATGAAAATTTCATGTTTCACTTTAGTAGTTATTGTTTGCATTGGTTCATATTTCTGTTTATAATCCAGTTAATAATTTGTCTAAAACATATGATTAATTATAATTTATTTGCCATATTTTACCTTAATTATCTTACCAATCTCACAACTCCTTAATTATTTTACCAATCTCTCAACTAGTTATGCATAAGAAAAATGAGTATAGGTGCATTCAAGATTTTATTTTTGAAATATTTTATATAAAAATAAAATTTTATTTAAAATGAAAGAAAATTCCTTTTCTTACAAATCAGATTAATCCAAAATGATGACTCTAATCTATACTACTCCTAGAGTTCTCATAATATCTCAAAAAAATTCAAAAATAATGAGGAATTTAATTTAACAGTTAATGATTTTCTCACATTTTCTCACATTTTCTCAAGAATGTAAACCTCATTACCTCAACAACATCAAAGATTTAAAAATATAACAAGTCAAAGAATGTCTTGGTTTAAGAAATGGCCTCAAATATACACATGGAAAAGAGTACGAAGAGGGGGAAAAATCATGGATGTCAGAGACCATATTTAAGAATGAAGGGTGATGGATTGCAATGTCTCACAAAGAAAGCAAGACACCACCCTTTAAGGATTTCATGTCTCATTGGAAAACATGCCACAAAAATATTAGTAGCTAGCATTGGTCCCACTTGTACTATAGGGTTCCATAAATCATAGCCCTCTATAAGAAAATAAGATTCATTCATTCGTGCATCTATAAATTCAAAGGTAAAATACAAAACCCCCCTTTGAAATTTTCGTCAAAATATATTTATCTCGCAATAATTTGAAAAATAGTAGTTTTAACAAGCTTTTCTTGGCCTATCCATCAGCTCACCTATGATTCTATTTTACGTCATTAATTTTTAATAAACGTATTTTCTATCAAATATGTCGTAATAATATATGATAACCTAAGTTAAAAAATTAATATGATTTTATGGGAGAGTGTTTTTTGTTGACCTAAAAAAACCAAAGTAGAACGTTAGTTTAAGGGATGGTAGTACCCATATTTTGTGGGGTAGGTAAGGGAAGGGGGAGGGGGTGTCCATATATGGAAACTGTCCGAAAACAACATGCAGATAAAACATACAAAGGTGAATGAATATGAACGAATGTCTGATGATCTAAGGCTTCAATGTCTGCTAAGAAAGTGCTCATTGGATTCCTCCTAGGGAGAGAGAAAGAGAAAGTGGGAAGTGATGGGGTTAATAAATAGGAAAGGAATGGATGAGGAGCTTCCTTCATGGCTAGGCTGGTTTGTTTTGTCCTCTGCCTAATTTTGTTGTTATTGATTGGATTTCTGTTACTTCTAATTTCTTCTTATAGTTGTCTCGAGCTGGGATCCTCCCAAGAAAGGTTGGATCTTTTTGAAGTAAAATATTATATTTTTAAGTCAGTCTAAAGCTGAAAAATATAATGGCAAATCAATGCTCAATGTTATCCATCTATTCTATCTCTCTCCTTTTTTTTTTTTTGTAAATATGCAACATTTTTATTTTAAATTAACGAGGGATTTGAGAAGGTGGAGGGGCACGTGATACCCATTTTGTATGCTAGATTAGAAACAATTTTATTATGGTTTGTACTTTTCTTTGTGATTTTTCAATTTTCAATAATTTCTTGCATTTTTTTCTTTTTCCTTTATATTCTTGAGAAGATATGCATTCACACTTGTATTCATGCGTACATATGAAAATAATCATGGTTTATTATACTTAATCCATCATAGACTTCATATATAAATTTTGATTAACTCTCCTATCATTTCTTGAGATTACTTAATTAACTTAATTAGTAGTTTGATTAGTTATGATTTAGTCTTATTAAAGAGAGAACAAAGTATTTAGACTTTTTTTTTTTTGTTTTAAAATTAGTACTTGTTCACATGTGCTTGTTAAAAAAGATTACTAATAGTAATTTCATAATGTGGCCATAAGCTAACACTTTTTCTTTTTTACTTTGTTATGAAAAATATATAAAAAAGGGTTTTGGCTTTGAAATGTATATTTTCTATAATATTTTTTTTCTTTTTTCAATTAAATAAAAAATTTTGCGTGTAATAAGGCATCTGAATTCGGTTTCAATACATAAAAACTATGATCAAGTCCGAAATTTAATCGAATTTATTCTTGTACTTAAAAAATAACATATAATAGATTTATGATTTAAATTCTAACATCTATAATATTTTTTTATTTCTAAATTATAACCTTTTTTCTAAAAATAAGAAACCATGGTCAGTTATACAATAAATTGTTCTGTTGTCAAGTCTGAGCCCCATAAATTGTCAACTGTAATGAAATTCTCATTTTACCATAAACTAAGACTTACTGTTGAAAAGAAATAGAATTAGAATTGTCAAAATATTTGGAATTTTTTGGCCCATGTTTCTTAAATGACATTTATTTCCCACTTTTCCAGATGGACAAAAGGGGCATCTCCATGGGCCACATGCATGTTCACTTGCACATGATTGGTTGAAAAAAAGATTTAAAGCATTAGGAAATATGGGCCACAATCATTGTTTTCTTAGGTGGCCCAATCAAATTAACAATGATTTTCTTGGCCCATACGACCAATTAATTCTCTTGATTAGCACTCCTTATCCCACCATCGGTATATATGATTTCCTTATCACTTTGATATCATCTTCTATTTGTTGGAAAAAAGAGAAAAAAAACTTCACTTCAACTACACTCTTTTACATTTTTAATTTAGGTTTAAAGCCAATCAATGTTAGTGAAATCCAATCTTTTTGGATCAAAAAACCCTAAAAGAAACAGACAAAAACATAGATAAAGAGAAAAAACAGTTTTATTTTTTCCTGTGTTCTGGGAGGATTTAAGATTTTATAATGGAAAAATATGGGGAACTCTTGTCTGGATAAGCTCTACCAAAATTTTGGCGTACTCTAAGCAAATACCAAATGTAATTTTTTTTTTAAAGATGAGATTAGTGATCCAATCTAAGTGAGACAATCTGATAGAAATATATAGTAGTATTGATTTCAAAAGTTGGGAGATGTCTTGAGTGGGGTCGTGAGATGGTGGATGCTATTGAAGCTGTACAATTAGGTAGGCTTGCTCTTCTGGCATGTCCAACCACATTGCATAGACAAATATATATATATATATATATATATATATATATATATATATATTGCGGGGGCAGTGGGAAACACTCAATAGATAGGCAGAAACATGGGCAACCATAACATGAAATTAAATGGTTTTTTTGAAACCAAATTCATTGATGGGATTTGCTGTCTATTTTTTTTTTTCAAAAGGGCAACAAGCGTTTTCCTATTAGACAATTTGTGTTAATTCTTGGGTTATGTCTTTGTCCTCTTTGCTAATTAATCCAAAGGAAAGCTATGGTTTTGGGTTTGATTTTGAACCATATGCAGGGAACAGAAGGTGCAAAAAGTAGCATCCTTCACATGTCAATCGCTGCTCAAATTATTGGTGGGTTGGATAAGCTTAAAAGCACATGGAAACACACTGCAACAAAAAAAAAAAAAAACCTTTGAAGAAAAATTTGTATGATCAAAAAACATGTCTCGTTTCTGATGATGGGTCTATTGTTGCATAATCACACGTTAAAAGTCTTTGGCATAAGTAACATCTCAATGTGGTTATGATATGTGGTTTGACTTAAGTTTGATAAAAACATTATCATATGATCTGTCATGAAACACTTCCTCCAAAAGATCTGCTGCTACTGCTTCACAGTGATATCATCCTGCAAGCCAAAATATACCAACCCTTTGTGCCTGTTCTATACATCAATATTGATAGGATTACTCAAGAAAAGGTTCTAAATACTCATCCGAATACTTGATTCGTATTAAAAAAAAAGTTGGAAAGGAAATTCCATAACACTGGTGTAAGTAATTCAAAATAAATAATTAGATACATTACAAATATAAACACAATCTTGTTTTGACCAATCACGTATATAAATATACATTTAAAAGTGACAAAATACACTATATAGTTCGCTCTTATCAATAAATATAAAAAAAATATTTTTACTATTAAAACATGAACAATATTTTCTTTTAACAACTTGCTTTTTTCTTCAATACTTTTCACTTTATTAGAATGTAAAAAAAAAAAAAACAATAAAAATAAAGAAAATAATGTGGTTAAAACTTGCTAATTGTAGGATAAATATAATAGTTAGAAGTACATTATCTCACCATAATCCTAAATTATATGCAAAGATGGAATATATAAATTGAAAATTCTAGGCATTTAAGATGCCAACATAAGGCTTGGTTACTGAACCAATGTACAATGTTCCATTAAACTCATTAACTTCACTAATTGAGTCCAACGTAACTCCACCATATCCATCCAGTTGTTTCATAACATTTCCTTCTTGATCATATTTGATCCCAATAGGATCAGGGGCATCATTTTGAATGCTCCATAACCTTCCAGCGTTAAGAGCTACCCAAAATTCTCCATTTTCATTCCTTTTTATATTATCAGGAACTCTGGGTAGCTGGGCAAACACTTCTGGCACATAACTATTTGCATCAGCATCAAGCTTGAACTTCAAAATTCTCCTTTTAATGGATTCTGCCAGTAGAAGGAAGGAACCGTTTTTGCTTAGTGCAATCCCATTAGGAAACATGAGTCCCTTGTGTAGTACATACACTTTTCTAGTGAAAAGATCGTACTTAAGCAATCTTCCACTTCTATCATTGGTTGATCTTATTAAAAAATCAGCGAACCTACATAATCATAAAAATTATTAGTTTCTTTTTTATTTAATTATTTGAAATAAATTATAATAAACTCTTATATAAATTTTAATGTTTTATCCAAACAATTTATTTCAACAAGTGTGATCAATACGAATTGATATAATAATATCAATACACATCTTATTTACAAATCTATAATAAAAAATTTTCAAAATAAATAAAAGTGAGTAATCTGAGTACTATTGTTTCAATAAAGACAAGAAAGATTGTTTGTTTCATTTGTTTCCTTTTTCTAGCCGGTTTGGATATTTGGGAATAAATCCATAAATCGCAAATTAGAACATAAAATGGTATGTGAGGATATAAGTGCACTACTCCAAAGATCTGATTTTCCCAGATTAGTATTATCGAAAAAAAAGTTTTCCTAGGCTTTGATTTTGTCTGTGTGTCTCCCTCATTATGAATAATAATGTAAGTAAAGCCCTCCATACAGCAAATTCCTACTTGGTGAATTTCCATCCAATGTGATAGTAAAAACCTATAAAATTTTAATTTCTTGTAATGTAAAGAACTTCAGCCTAGTCCTTGCAAAAATAGAATCTAGCTATAAAATATTTATTGTAATTAAACCCCCCATATAGCTATATAATATAACCTAAAAAAATAGACCCATGTAATTGGCTCACTAGTCCTCTCTTTTTTTTCATTTTAATTCTTTTTTTGTAAAATTTTCATCAATATAATTTATAAGAAAATTGAGGGAGGGAAATTGATAAATAAGGGAGAATATGAGAGAAAGAAAACAAGAGGTACCTCCTTTGAAAGATAAGGCTACTGTCTGTAAAATAGACAACTCCGGTATTGGTATCAATGTCTAAACCATTTGTAAATCTAAATGGGATTCCTTCGGCTGAAGTAGCAAGTGTTTGAGCCACGCCACCATTGGGTCCGACCACTAGGAGACCGAAGTAAGCATCTGCAATGTAGAGATCACATGTTTCTTTGCTGAATTTCAGACCCAATGGCCTTCCACATATTGGTTCGAGGCTGGGATTTGCTGAACCATCGCACAGCTTCCTCTTCCTAATATCCAACGAAGAAACCAACAACTAATCAATCGGTATTTGGTTATTATATTCTCTACATTTCATCGAAAGGTTGTGATGAAGAAATTGATCAATATTTTAGCAGATGGAAAGAAAAAAAAAATCACAGATTAACAACTAAAGAAATTTACTATATATACCTTATTGGTGAAGGTATGGCAAACTCTTTCCAACCAAGACTTTGTCTTTGCCATTTGAGTATTCTACCATCAGATACACCAACATATGGCCCTTCTCCTTTGCAATCAAAAGCGATGCTTTCGGGTCCTGTAACATGGGTGAGATTGATTTGGTGGTAATGCTTTGGAATAACATCACCCTCATCATTAGGAAGCTGTTGCTGGGATTGTTTGATGTTTAGAGCGAGGAAAAACACAAGGAACAAAAGCTTGAATGAATGAGATTTCTTCATGGTTGAATTGGTAACAAAGCTAGACATGGAGATATAAGAATCAACTTGTAAGGAAACTTATAATATGAAATAAAGGTGACAAAACAGTACTTGAAAGTGAAGGAGGATGTGAACATTGGATATATATTTATAGTAGTAACTGCTTGAGAAGTAATAAAATCCAATTTCAACCCAAATCAAATTACTAGTTATAGTGGGAATTCGCTTAGACATAGAATTATTATTCAAGACCATTAAAATATCATAAAAAATTGCATATACAAAAGCAAAAGGAAAGAAATTAAAATAAATGAAGGTGTTTTTTTTTTTTTTTAAACTAAGATCCCTTTTCCTATTTGGGCAAGTAATAGTAACTTATATAAGTATAAGATGTTTAATTTATTTAGTGGTATTTGTTTTATTAGAGAAACAAACTTAGTTTGACTTGAACTATAAGTTTAAGCTTTAATTCTTCTATTCTCTTCCAACCATTGTGTTGCTTTCTGCAGTGCAAACAGCATACTATCGCTCTTATAGACGGTGCTCAAGACTGCAAGTGGGGCCTAAATAAGTTTGGCATAATAAAGCAAACTGGAGCTTGCAATGATCAAAACACGACTTTATTGAATAATCTTTTAATCTGATTTTGCTTCTACAATTTTGTAACCATATATATATATATATCCATACTGTTTAGCAAATAGAAAACTTTGATTCTTGGAGATATATATTTGAATATTGTTAATGAGATAACAAATCACATGTTAAAAACTGTGGTATTTGTATAAAAAAAAATGGTAAACTGTCGTATCCATTAGGGATATGCATTTTATTTGGTTTTAAAGTTAAATGCATAAAATTGTAAATCATAATTGTGTGATATATATAATTAAAATATTATAAGTATGTTAAATATATTTATGTCACTTAAACTAAAATTTTAAAATAATCAAACTTAATTTCATCTATCATATTTTGCAAAAACATGATCATTCATAAAATCAATTTATCATAACAATGATAAATTGTTATAAAATAATACAACAAACTTACTTATCATATATGTAACAATAATTTTCACGGATTCATATGACTAGATGATATTTAAAGGATTCACAAAATTGTTTGAAGTAAAAGATTTTTATCGCTACAAAGTGTAACATTTTAAAAATTGAACAATAATCAAAGAAAATGTTCAAAATTTAATGATTATGCCCAAGAAAAGACTGATGACTTAATTAAGTTTGAAAACATCTTTTATCCATCTCAATTAGAGTTACTTAAACTTATTATCAAAAATCAATTGTGATATTTAAGACAAAAGAACGCAAGTTCCACATATGAGTAACAATCTTTATAAATAGCAGCAGTTTATGATGTGTTATTTATAATTAGATTGAAAAGTTTAAGTGCATCATTAGAAACTCCTTGTTGGACAAAGAATGTGGTATGCTAGTAGACACTTTTCATATTAAGCCAATATGAGAATATTCCAATTTTTGAAAAGTCTATCCTTATTGGACAAACAGATCTTCTAAACTAGTTTACTCTTAACAATGGCGTTTAATATCCACTCTAAATTACCAAACAAAATAAGTCTCCTTAGGTAGACGATTATATAAGATAATTTGAGAATATTCTTATCTTTACGCAGGAAAAAATCTTGCAAATTTTAATGAATAAACTTCTTTGGTGGACAAGCACCTACATTAACTAATTGTATATTTTATATCAAGAAATTTAGATTGCTTATAATATTAGTTTGAATATTTAACTAAGTGTATGCATTTTGACTACTCATTGCAAGAATTTGATCATGATGCATCTTTTTGGGCTATTAAAGAGTTGATTGCTCCGTTTGAGACACCAATAATCAATACATATCTAGATGGATCATTGTAGACATGAGCACTTTTAGTGAAATACTTAAACTAATAAATGTCTTTTTGGATCAACAAATAATTACTGCTTCCAAAATCCAAGTGCCTTGAAATTCATGAATAAATTAATATTAAATCCACAATGTATTCTTTTGTATCATCCATCAAAATAAAAATTTCCCAAATCAATGATGATGTATAACTCTAAAATTATTATGGGAAAAATAAATTAAGGCAAAAATTTCAAACTCAAATTGTTTCATATAAATAATAGCTCAATATTATCTAATAATCATAATAAAAGTACCAATATGTTATTAATGATACCAAATCCTAGTGGACTTTAAATCCAATTTGCCTTTTAGAACAATGCATTTTGCATTTAAAATGGATAGCCAAATATTAATAAAAGCAAATTTTACTAAATTTATTTAATTATGAACATAAAATTTAGCTGAGAGTACGTAAATTTTAAATATCATATTAGGAGAGTACATACCACTAATATACTCTCAAAAGTCAAAATATTTTATTAGAAAATGAAAATAACAGAATTCATGTGTATAGTATAATATTTATTTAATCAAACTCAAATATTTTATAATAAATATTTTATGCAATTTAAAAAATTTTATTAAAATAATAATAAATGCAGCATAAAATTTTAAAACGAACGAAACAAGTAGGGTCTAAAATGGATGTCAAATGAGTCCAAATGGATTAATTTTTTATTATGACACTATTCACTAACTTAGTACAGTTCTAACTTGTACTATTCACCAAATAAATTAATAAAATTTAATGTAAAGATTAATAATATGTAAAAAAATTATTAAAAATATTATTTATAATTCAAATTTGATCAATATTTATTCAACGGTAAAAATTTTGTCAACATTTTTATTAAAAATATCTATATAAAAATATATATAAAAATTTTTTAAAATTTTTTAAAATTTTTAAAATTTTTTAAAATTTTTAAAATTTTTTAAAATTTTACACACTTAATATATGTAATGAGATCTTTTAATCTATCAATTTTAATTTTTAATTTTATTTATTATTTAATCATTTTTAGTAAGGAACTTTATGAACTTTATGTAAAGAATTTCATTTACAATTACCCATTTTTGTGTATTTCTATGAAATAGGAATTGTGCAAAGATATAGACAACCATTACATCTGGATCATAATTTACCCAAATAGATTGTTTTTTTGAAAAAAAAAAGTTTCTTTAAATAAAGGCATAATAATTTTGGAAAATTAAAATGGATGATCTTGTTAGAGGCTATGAAACTTGGGAAAATTTAGAAAAGCTCTTCTTATTAGGAGTATCAATAACTTTGAAAATTTTAAAAGGCTCATCTTATTAGAAGCTTAATAATTTTTAAAACTTTAAAAGGCTCTTTTTATCAGAGACTTAACAATTTTTGAAAAATATAAAAAGCTCATATCATCAAAGGTTATGAAACTTAAAAAATTTAAAAAGCTCTTCTAACCAGATGTTATGAAACTTTGAAAATTTTGAAAGGGCTTCTCTCATAAAAAACTCAATAACTTTTGAAAATATAAAAGGTTTCTCCCATTAGAGACTTAACAATCTTGTTACCAACTTTTCTTGATATCTTTTCCTTCAACTGAAGTTTAGCATCATATCTTTTCAAACTTTTCCTCAGTTGAATATTGAAATTCATCCTTATAAGATTTTTCTCACACGATTATCAAAATCTCGTCAAAAGATTTTATCTTTACAAAATTTTTTCCTCAATTAAGGATCAATATCTTACTCGTTCTTTTAGAAATTTTCCTTATAAGGAATCAAATCCTTATCTCCAAAAATTATCTTTCACTAAGGATTAAAGTCATATTTTTGTTGGGAAAAATTGTCTTCAAGTAAAAACATTGCATACTTTCATTAATTTCAATTTCAAGATCCAAGATCACAACTTCTTACCAAATGAATACAATGATTGCCAAACATTTCATACTTTCATTAATTTCAATTTCAAGATCCAAGATCACAACTTCTTACCAAATGAATACAATGATTGCCATGTTGTGAAAGCAATGTCATAAATGCAAATTTAATTGTGACAAAATGGTTCTCAAGATATTTTCAATGCCTTCTTTCCTTTTCAATTTTAAGGAATCATAGTTTCAGGACATGCTAACAAGTTCTATCAACAAGTTTATGAACCAAAATCTTCATTTGCTAATTTGATCATGATATTTGAACTTTTTCAAAATGTTCTTTCTTTTATTTGAAGACCTTGAGGATTAATATTTTTTCAAGTTTCCTTCATTACTTTATTTTTCTTTGCATGTTGCCCTTATCTGTTAACTTTTATTTCAAAGTGATGCAAGGATCTTTTATGGACTCAGTCATTTATCATCATTTCAATTTCATGGCAAATGCAATTCATGACATTTCTTGAACTCATTTTGGGAAAGCAATAATAATGAATGCAAGGTAAATTGAAAGAAATGGGTAATTAATACAAGATTAAGTCTAACTAAATAAACAATTTCAAAGTATATTATAGTGATGAATGTTTGAATGGTATAACAACATCCAAATAATGAATATTTAAACAATTTTAGTCACCAACACATAATTTTTTTCCTCAAAACTCATTCTATTGATGCCTTTAATATTTTGAGCTCATCAAATGACATATTGCCCTATCCCAAAGATTCTCAAATGATATCGTTTTATCCCAAAACTCATTCTATTGATGCCTTTCATATTTTGAGCTCATTAAATGAAATATTGCTTTATCCCAAGGATTAAAATGATATTGTCTTCCTAACCTAAAATTGTCTTTTCATGTTTCCAGTCCAATTATCTTTTTTACTAAAATCTTCATTTTTGGTTTTCAATTTAAATGTTCCTTTTTCCTCTTTTTTCATCTCTCATTTTTTTCATCATTTTTACTTTATTCACCACAATCATTCCCACAAATCAATTTCAAAATGTAAGAGAGGATCATAATCTCATTGTTCTTTGATTATACCATAAGCATGCCTTAGTTCAATAAATGATTATTTAATTAAAGTATTCAAAATTGATGAAAATGGGCATTTAAGGCACATATCGTAGGCTATAGTGAAAGGTTATGAAATAAGGATAAAATAGGCCCAAAAATGTGTTTAAGGATAATCAAACCAAGGTTCATTCATTGTCAAATAAAACGCATTGGTGTTTTGCCCCATTTTTCAACTTCTTCATCTTTCAATCTTTTTTTTTTTTTTCATTTTTTTCAACAAAAGTTCAAATTCGAAAGGGTATTTTTCTTCTTTACCTTTGAGTGTTATTTTTAGCTTTCATTTTTTTTTGGTGAATAGTTCTTTTTTTTTTTTCAA